TAAGACATTACCTTAATTATTAAATCTAATTTAAAGGTATCATAATAAATTATTTTGTATCTTCCTAAAATATAATATCTTTAAGTGTTAACACATTTCCTTGAACTGTTAAGCTGTACTTAAAGTTATCAAAAAGGACTATTTCGTACCTTTCTAAAATATTGCCGTAAAGTGTTAAAACTTCAATTTTTACTCACTACAACAAAAACTATAAACTCAAACAAATCAGTAATGCGTATATCAGCATTTCCGTTGCCGTATTATTTTTTATTTGATTTGAAATTGAAGCGAAAAAGATATGCAAATTGATTTCATTGATGTTTTATTCGGTATGTACAAATACAGAAACCTTTATGTGTTCACAATAAAACAAATGTAAATGTATATATAAACGCTACTTACGCACATGTTGCAAATATATTAAGAGTGGTAAAATATAATACCTCAAAGCAGCATGCAAGCATGCAGCAATTCGTTGTATTACAAAACCCCAGGGGATGCATTTCATGTCGAAAATTACCTCATTGAAAGCACAGTACAAATAGTAGAAATCACGAGAAACGCAAAAAGATATAAATCCATACACTGAGTGCCTTGTTCTTTAGTGGCAATGGAGCAACCGAGTGGCTGGAGTAACTTGAATAGTAACAGCAGCTGAAGGAAAAAGGTAAGTAGGTACGTTTTTATTTCAACTTCATTTTGATTTTGTTGTACTTTAACATCGCTTTTATGTTCGTGTTTATAAATAAAGACCGCAGGATATTTTTAACGCGACACATAAATAGCGACAATTTCTGCACAGTACAGCTGATGATGTGCCAAGTTGCTTGGGTACGAAGTTTGTGTATTTTTGCAGCTGCAGCAAAAGTCTTTAAATTTTAAAGCATAAAATTTTAAGAGCACCGAAAAGTATGCTATAAAATTTTTTAATATGCTTTTATGTAATGGTTGCCAGCGGGAAAATCCAAAAGCGGAATATTTTCTGTTGTTTTCTATTCCTTATTATGAGTTTTGTTTATTTTATATTTCAGTGCAACCGCTTTAGGCAAAATGTGGCAACATTTTAAATTGTCGCTCAAAAATACAAGCAAATATCCTAGTTGATGCATGCAAAGATGTCCTTTGTTTATTATGGCAACTCTTTATTTGCGGAAATAAAAGCACTCATACGGGCTTATTTGACTGCCTGGCTGCAGTGAAGTCTGAGTTTTTTTACACCACATAAATTTTATGGTTCCACGCAATTCTTGTTTGTTTCTATTTAGACAAGTTGCATAAAAATTGTTGTCTTTTTTGTTGGGTTTTTTATTTATTTTTTTTTTTTTTGTAATTTCAAATGTATTTTGCAGTAGTTTTGTAGAAGACAAGCGTTGACAATTTCTTTACTGCTAGTATATACCACAAAATGGCGGAGCCTGTTGGCTATATATCATTTCGTTTCACTTTGTTTTGGACTGCAATATGTGGTATTTTTTTAATTTTTTAAGGCTTGAATTTCTAATAATAATTATTATTTACTTATACCTATATTATAATAGTGCTTCAAAATATATGATCAGTATTGTAGTTTGACAGTATATACTCGAACACTTCTGTACAATAATATTATATATACATATTAAAATAATAATAAGTATAGTAACACTTTATATTTATACGATCAGTACGGTGTTTGTACAGTTTTATCATACTCCCTTGAGTTCGAATACTTTGCTTTAACATTGTAAATGTTCAATGAAATTTAAATATGTAATAATAATAATTATTTATTCATATATGTATATAGTAGTGTTTCTAGGTATATGAGCAGTAGTCTATATATATATATATATATTTGAATGTCTTGATTTAACACTGAAAATATTCGAAAATGCTTGTTGCCTGAAGGTTTTCGAACTATTCGAATAGTTATTCTGCTTAATGTTTCATTTTATGGTTGTAGTATTTAATGCGAACAAGTATTAAAAGTATCAAAGCTACTATCTGAATTCTTTTCTGGTCTTCGAACATTTTCGAGCGGTTCGCTGCGGTCGAGTCAAATTTTCGAACATCGAAATGTTGAAGGCTTCGAATTAATCAAACAATATTTGAAGCTTAAGTATATAAACATTTTTTTTAATAAATAATTTAAATCTGTTTAATTTTATTTAAATTTTAAGAAAATTTTACACAAAAAACAATTCATTAAGGGAAACCGCATTCCTTAATTTAATTAATTTAACTCTATTTCACTCTAATGTTATCTAATCAATTGCACCTTTTGAATTGAATCGATTTATATTTCTTTTGAAAATCCTTTCAAATACAACTTTAAATTTAGTCTTATTTTATTGACACAATCACAACCTTAATATTGCATATTTATCCTTTCTAATGTAAGAACCTGAATAGTGCCACATGTGTCCTTATTTCTGGAATTTTATTTGATTTGTTTACAGGAGTATTTGTTGGATTTATTTGATGTTTATTTGTTTCTCGGAATTACTTTTGAGTCAAAACAAATACAAAAGGGAAAACTGGTACAAGTATAGCTTTGAAGGCTAAAGTTGAGTACTTCATCATTGCTTGGCTTCATTTGAAAGCCACAAAAATTTATTTGCTCGGGGGTTTAATTTCAAATAAATTTTAAAACAAAGTGATTATAAGAAATTGTACTAAATTAACCCCACAGCAGCAAAAGAGGAATAACATTTACAGAAAAGATATACAATACATATATAAGTATATAATTTAGTGGAGGGAGTTGATTTTTTGTGGAAAATTAAATTAATAATTTTAACCTAACAGATATTCTGCAAAATAATAATAATTATTTAGTTATAGTAACAAAATTAGGTAATAGTGCACCTATTGGTGCAAGATACAATAAACATATGTCTATATATTATTGAATAATTTTAAAATCAATGCCATATTTAATAAAATTTAGAGTGGAACATTTATATGCATAGATATGCATTAATATAAATTAACGCTGTTCAGAAATAAACATTGCCATTTGAGCCTGAAAGTTTGCTACATTTAATAACTGATTAGTGAGTAGTTCTATACATGCTATCTGGAAACTGGAGATTGTACAGATATTATAAAGAATGTTTTATTGGCTCTTAACAAAAAAGTTAGCCCACGGTGAACCCTGGATATTAGATTATTATATAAGATATAAGATTGATATAAGATTGATATAAGATTGATATATAGATTATTCTTCTGTCCTAGTTCTGTCCTAGCAGCCCTAGTTTTTTTCTAAACTACAAATTTGGTGATAATTTTACATTGAGCAGATAATATAGAGCACTAGAATTCCACAACAATTATTCCTAACAAAATTAATTGTAATTAAATTATACCTTTTCCAAAAAATCTTAACAAATTCTCATATGTGTAGCGAATCAATTGCACAGATTTCTTTCATAAGATTGTTGATTCCTATCCTTTCAATTAAAGGTTAAGAAATTAGTATTAAAATTTATATTTAGGTATTTATTTTCTATATATTAAAAAATTTTAATAAGTTTTGTTGGGTTCTTATTTGGACAAAAAAACTGCTACCTAAGATCATCCTTTGCTGATGCACTTTTTTGATGATGATACTTTAGTAAAAACAAAGTGCTTTGATAATCTTTAAATTGTTTTGGACATCTAAAATGAAAATATGAAATTGTTACAAGTTTCGAAGATGAAGAACTCGAGGCATTACTCAAACAAAATTCGGGTCAATTACAAAAAGAATTTGAAAGTGATGAAATATTAAACAAATAGCAATTTTCCAGTGCCTACAAGTATTAGGATCGATTTAAAAGTAAGGAGCTTTGGTGCTATATGAGTTGAAACTAAAAGACGACAGAAGCCGATTTTGCTTGACTGAAATGCTGCTTGAACGATAGTTTTCCATCGCATTGTTTCTAATGAGCAAAAGTGAATCTACTACAATAAATGCAAGCGAAAATAGTATGCATAGTCTGGCTAACAAGCTAAGCCTACGCTAAAACCGATCTAAAGCCTGTCTCTGAGGAATGGAGACGCTAATGTACTATAGTTAGAAAGAGAGGCATTGTTATTGATTTTCAAAAACGATACATGATAGTCTTACATACTTTATATAAAATATACACACTTTATTAAAGGAAAAGTTGTGCCTTCTGTTTATCTAAATACATTTTGAACAGCAATACAATTATTTCTCCTATTTACTACATTTCATATACTATAATATATCTAGTTACCAATAAGATTTTGAAAATATATGCATTTTGCGCTAAAATAAATATCCTTGTATATATTAATAGACAATTGACAATATTTACAAGGTATCAAGTGTGTTTTATTTGCAACTTAATTTTTCAATTTAAATGCTTTGCAATCTTAATTTGCATTTCAAATAGGGAAAACAAAACTTAAATAAAAACTGCAGTAAAGGATAAAAATAGTTTAAACTGTACATTTTCCACAAAGTTATAAAAAACTGTTTATGTACTGCAAATCACAGTTGTGAAGGTTGAACTTGGAAAGTTAAGTTCCCAATGCAATCTTGGCAATACACAATGGCGTGTCCTCTTTGCCATACAACCAAGTTAAACTTTCTGAATACAATTTTTGCTATATACATATACCAAGGACACTACTTACGAATAGATTATTTACATTTATGTAGTGAAAAAACGGAAATGTTGGTACATAAATTTGCTAAGTTTGCAGGGTTAAATATGTAAGACTGCGGCATACTTCAAAATGCAAACTTAATTTAGATACACTTACAAAAACTCAAAAAAAAGTATAAATATAAAAAATTACAAAACTAACAACAAGCAACGAAGGAAAAAGCAACCCAGCATGCTTTTACGGCAAATATACTTTAGTTTCCAACAAAAAGGTTTTAAAAAAGTACTTAATAAAATTTAAAAATACGTTGAGTGTACTTGCTTAACTAATCCTTTGAAAATAGCTCAATACCTATATTTCAACCCATATTTATTACTCCCACTTCCACTACCACTTACCTGACTTAGTTCATCCCTTGAGAGTCGTTTGCATTTTGGTAATAAAGCTTGCATATCATCCTCGAACTGCCCATCATCGCAGCAGCTGCTATCGTTGGCATCCAACGAGTGAAATTGCTCAGATGTGGTGTCTATGTTGACACCTGATGCACCAACGCCTACATTAAGAACACCGCAGCCATTGCCTCCTCCGATACCAACAGTTTCGTTACTTTGCAAATTTAAATCAAAACTTAAATTTGTAGTACCGCCGACATCACCATTATTGTCACTTCCTTTAATGGAATCTAAACCACAAAATGGTAGACGACGATTGTTAATGCTATTATTGTTGTTGTTGTTATTGGAGCTGCCATTTGTATTATTGTTGGTATTGGAATTAACTGTTGTGGTTGTTGTTGTAGTTGTGGATTTTAATTGATTTTGTGTTTGTGTTGTTAAGTTTTGTGTACTGGAATCAACAGAAGACCTGTAATTAAAGAAAATGATAATTATTGATTTAATTTGTTTGTAGAATAATACTTTAATGGTTTTATTTGTGTATAATTAATAGTAGCAGAAGATATAAGAAAAATGACATTGGGTATACAAATTAAGTTTGCACATATAAATGTATAAAATTGTTTACAAAAACAATTTTACAAAAAAAAAAATGATTTGTTTTCCGAAATTTTAGTAAAAATTTGTTTATGTTTTATAAAAAAGAAGTAATTTTTTATCAAAAAAAAAATAGTGTTTGTTTTAAACACCAATAACTGAATTTTGGGAGGATCGCTAACTAATATTTATAGATAAACTTTGTTGTTGTTTTCATAAAGTTCATGTTTTTCTTGCGTATTATACAGCAATGAACGAAACGAAAGCCACTTTCTAGAGCTTTATCTCTCCAAGAAGAACAAATATTATCATTTCTATTAGATAAGTATAGTCAACTATAACTATAACTTTGGAGCACAGCAAAAGAATATCTAAGTAAATAATAATAAAAAAATTTATATTTAATTTAAAAGATTTGCTAAATTTAGCGTTCAACTTTAAAATATATTAAAGACCATATATATAACGGTAATTTTTTCAATGATTTTTAAAAAAATATTCTATTGATTTTTTACTTTTATTAAGGAAGAGAAATACTTCTTTTAACGAATCTATTACAGACTTCGTTAAATAGAAAAATATTAAGAATCTTTTACGATTACGATTTTACGATTTTTACGAGGATAACAGGAACCGAATTGTTTCCATATCTATGCTGTTTAAGAGATGACATTATATAATATACTATATGTACACGGAATTACATAGGTTTAAATTTATATTCAGGCATTTTATTGGACTTTGATTATAACAGTTTATGTTGCCAAGAGAGAGAGAAACAGAAAGAAAGATAGAGAAGGAGAGAGGGAGAGAGGGAAAGAAGAAGAGACAGAAAGAAAGAGAGAGAAGGAGAGAGGGAGAGAGGGAAAGAAGAAGAGAGAGGAAGAAAAAGAAAAAGAGAGAAAGAAAAAAAGCGTTAGACAAAGAAAGAGAGAGAGAAAGAAAGAGAGACATAAAGAGAAAGAAAAAAGAGAAACATAGAGAGAGCGACCAAGAGAGAGATAGATGGAATGAATGAGCGAACGAGAAATATAGAGGGGGAGAAAGAAAAAAAGAGGGAGAAATGGAGATCTGTAATCAATTTTGTTTACATTTATTTTCAGGCACTTTATTGAACTCTGATTATAACTGATTAAGTTTCTACTATATATACTGCTGTGTCTGTCACACTAAAATAATATTATCCGCATACTTTACGTCTTCTGGCTCAGTTGGTTCATCCCTGTTCAGATTATCAAAATCAGAATTATAATGCATCAAAACTAAAGATAAATAATGTTAACAATGTAATGTAACTGAACAGTTTAATAAACATTGAAATTATATGTTTAAATTACTACCCGAAGATGTTTTACCCAACATATATACCATGCAGTATTGATTTTTCATAGTCTTATCACATCATTTTTCAATAGTGATTGTATCTACTTAAATCCCCCGTATTATAGGTACTGTTTCAAAAAAGAACACAGCTAATTTGTTAACAAAGACTTACACCCTTAATATTAAATTGAGTTTTATTAAATTTTCCGCCAATTCTTAAACTGTTGCTTTTTTGCATTTTCCTTTAAATTGAATCAATATTAAAAATATAAAATTTTAAATGTGTGCCAATATTTTATGGAAATTATTTTTGGGGTCAATTTTTTTTTCCAACGTTGTATGATACACTGAAAACAATCGAAAAGGTTAGCAATGCGGAAACCTGAAACTTAAATACAAGTATCTGAACCGAAGAAGAAAGGGGTGCCCACAGGGATCTCCAACAAAAATTACTTTGAAGTTAAAAAAAATGCTCAGAAACAGTCGAGCAAGGACAAAGCCACTTTGTGAGTCTAATAACTTCGTTGTTTGTAGAGGAAATATTTTTAGGGTGAAATTTATGTGAGTAAAAGTCTTGTTTTTTTACCTGTTTTTGATTAAATTTTAAATAAAACATTTCTGTTTATTGCTGATGTCATTTATATGCACAGATAAAAACGAGAGACAGACTAATTTGGTTTTCTAAACAGAATAAGTCATACTTTGGTACGTAAGTTGAAAAAGCATTGTGCCAACGCTGCCTTAGGTTAAAAAACTTTTATACCATGTAAATTTTTTATTAAATAAAATCACATGAAATAAACTTTTTGCTTTAATTAGTGAAACGAAATATATTAAATGTAGTACAAGTGTCGCAGGGCATATGCAACATGCAGCTAAAGGCAAGTACTAGTAAACAGGGTTTACACTTGTATCTATGAGTACGACTACACTTTTTCTAAGTTCTATCTAGAAAGTGTGTTCTGAGTGTGCTATGAGGGTGGCTGCTGTTTTTCTAGAGCGTATCCATCCCTTGCTCAGACTTGCTTCACTGACTTAAGCGACTTGAAGCTGTGTGCATAATAAATTAGCGTTGTTAGCTTGTAATGTACTTTAAAGTAGGGCAACAAGTTGCTTATTTTGTTAATTAACATTAATGATGTCGAGTTTATGATGAGTTTAAGTTGAGGCGCGAGTAGGCATTTTCTTAAATTTCGTAGTAAAAAAAATCATTAAATGAAGTAATGATGTTATGCCTTTAATTTGAAAAGGAAACCAAATAAAATCTATTCACAGCATATGCTATAAGGACTTTAAGATTAAATTTTTGTGATGATAATCTATACTGAATTTTAATTTAGGGTAGTAAGGTACAAAATTTAATTTAAATAAGTTTTTTTATGGAAATTTCATTGAATAAAATTAAAAGTGCTTTAAATTAATCAAATTTTTTTGATTAAAATTTTGATAGAAAAGCCGTTTCCTTTTACATTTCTTTAACTTTTCAGCGGAATGATATTTTACGCTGTCGAATTTGTCAAAAAGTTAATTTGCAACATATTTTTCTCTCTCGAAGTGCAAAAAATAAAAGCAATTTCATGCCGTTTTCACAATGTTTAATGCACATTTTGTTATGTCAGCTTTTGTGATTAATGAATTTGCAACAAGCAAAAGTTGGAAAAATTACTTTTATTTTTAGTCCAAAATTTTTTCTCAACTCCCCCATTGAAATATGAAATATTTTGTCTTTGGCTTATGTTTTGATGCCCGATGCCCTATCCTTTTCCTCATCCAAATGGCAAATGTTATTTAGCCACGCTACTTAACTTCGTCTTTATCTCCTTGATGGATATGAGCAAGATATATGTGTTTATGTGTGGATATACTATTTATGAACGGAATGGAGTGTTCGCTAGTTGTTTTTCACTTTTTCGCAGTTTATCAGTTCGTACTCGTAGCTGCCGAGTAATCGCACGATTACTCGCATGTGAAGATACACAATTTTGACAGTTGTGCTTAAAATGTCATTTGTTGTTCGTTTATGTGTCATTTTTGTCGTAAAACATGTCAAATTAGCGAGTGTCGTTAGAAATTTGTCTTCACTTCTTGCTCTTTTTATTAACAAATGTCACATAAAATTATTTTAGTTTCTTTGGAATGAATTTGTTATGGACTTTTTAGGTCAATTTGATGTTATTAGCTCGTTAAGTGGAGAATTCAACTCTAATTATGCCATTACTTTTTGCTTTTTGAAATTGAAAAATATTTATAGTGAGAAAGTCATATATAATTTTTTTATGATACTTAACAATTTTACTAAAATTATGTTTATGGTGATATGCTATTGAAACATATTAATAATCAAGAAATATCGAAAAAATGGCTGAATGGATTAATGTTATATCCGCACTATAAAAAGTACTTGATAAACTACAGTAATAGCATTGTTGCTTCTTAACATTTTAATGATTAAGAAAGTAACAAGAAAGTATGGCTCAATGGATTAATTTTATATCCAGATTAAGAAAATTATTTTATAAATTATAGTAATAGTATGGTTGTTTCTTAACATTTCAGTTTTCAAAAAACTAGCAAGGAAGCATGGCTTAATTTATTAATAATATATCGAAATAATGTTAATGTATATGCTTTCCTTATTTTTTAGTGATTGTAAACACAGTTTTTATGGTTCTTTAAAACTCACTTTTAATTATTATTATTATTGGGAATGCTATAGTATACACATAACATTATTTGCTTCACTTAATCATAGCAAATTTATAATACATACCATATTATTCCAAAAGGTATAGCATTTTATCTGAATTGAAATATAATTGATACACCACTTTCAAATTTAATTGCTATAACTCACACATTTTAATTAAAAATAACTTATTCTGTGTTTAGTATTATGATTGCTGTATAATAACTTGATAATAATATATAATTTTGACATATCTTGTGGATATATCAATTCTGTTATATAGTTCCTGCTTAAACAAATTTACTGGTATGATTAGTTTCTTCAAAGTGACAAAAATAGTTATATAGTTACATTATAAAAAAAAGAAGTATTTATTTTATTATCATCTAAATTTTAATAATATAAAAAAAAGATATATATAATATAAAAAAGGTTCAGTTCAGAGACAGCACAATTTAGATTAACGGAGATTTATATTAATTAAAAAAAATAGTTAGTATAAAATGAATTTTAAGGAGTCTCTGAATAAGTAGTCAAGGCGTCTTTACTAGATATCACGGCGCATAAGCTGATATAAACAGGATAATCTTTAAGAAAGCAGGATGGCATACCAGTCCATAGCACTTAAACATGGCTAAATTTGCTTATAAAGATGGGCTTTACTGTTTAAATTATTTTTAATTAAATTTCAATTTATTTAAATTTCAATTTATTTAAATATAATTAATTAATTTCGATTTTGATAAAAATTTTTGTTTCATTAATTTTAAATAAAATTGTTCATTTTATATGTATTGATTTTCGATAAAGAAAAAATAAAAAAATAATAATTTTTGTTGTTGTAGTTCACTACTTTTCGAAAA